TTCGTTTTTGTTTTCTTTTTTTTTTTTTTTCTCTTTTTTTCTTTTTTTTTTTTTTTATTTTTGTTGTATCCTTGTGACTGTTATTAATTGATAATCTGTTTTTTTGTGTTTTCCGCTTTTTTTTTTTTTTTTTTTTTTTTTTTTTGTGTGTTGTGTGTATATACTGATGTTTGCTGGAGGATGTGTTGGAGCCATTATCAACTAGGCCGGGAGTCATTCCAAGGGGTTTTGAGAGAGCTTAGTTGATATAGGCGCTGGTTAGGATGGCTGCGATTGTGGCTGGTGACTCCGAATGTATCTGTAGAATGATTCAGAGTTCCATCTGCCTATTTTCTGGATGAGGACTAACTGAACACCCCTCATAACTAATTCAGTGGTTCCTCCTGCTTGGAAACTGTGACCAGCTACATCTTCATGAGGAATCATTTGTTTTAGTTTGGCTATGAACCATTGTTTTGTGACCTATGTTCCGTCCAGTTTTGCAAATAACATCATGTTATCTTTGGCATAGTCCGCAAAGATGCATATGCTTTAAGAGCACAGATCAGGCAAATAGGATCGTTGGTCGGGTTGATGATTAGTGATACTCGATTAGCTGTTTTGTGGTTCTTTGTTTTTGCTAGTTGAATTGTTGCAAAGGTGCTGTTGCCAACTTTATCAAACTTTAACACCTTAGTTGTGAGGACTTTGTGCGCGTCTGATTTGTTGTTTGGTAATAATTCGCCAAGTTGGGCAAGACTGTAAAATGCTGAAAGTATGACCGCCCAAAATAACAAGTCTGTGGGGTTGTTTAAGTTGAGTTGTGATTTAATATTATATAGCTGTTGTCGGGAGATATGTAACTTCTGCTTTACTGGAATATGTGTATGTGCTGCATCGATCGACTTTATGAGCTGAGTTATTAAAGGGTCGTTGCAAATGGGTGTTCAGTTGTAATAGTTCCTTGTGTGATGGTATTTGAGTGCAGAGAGGTAAGTTAGAATTGTGGGTGGTGAAACCGTTTTGTGCAACAATGTACCCATCTCTACAACTTACAAAAAATCGACAAAAAGTGGGCAAAACAGCTTACCCCTGCCAAAACACACTATGACA